GATGTTGGTAGCGATTTTCTACGATATCACCGTCAAAGAAAACCCTCAAGGCGAATCGATGACAACCCCAATACAACTGCAAATTTAAACGTGGAATCATTCTATCGAAAAGAATTTAAAGCGGTTTTAGATTCGCAGATCAACACGTTTACGGATGTCCTAGAGAACTGTGTTGCCACAATCAAACCTCTGTTCCAAGCCCTACAACCAGGTCAAGAACCATCTTCAATTCAAACCTTTGAAGCTTTGGCGAAGTTCCATCCCGACAAAGACAGACCAGATCCAGATGCTCTTATGTCTGAAATAGAGACGTGAAGATGCTAAAGATATTTCTAGCGCCGCAAAAAAAGCAGAGGAAATGAAGTTGGTGTTCCCTTTGACCAACAGATCTTTTCGTCTGGTTTTAACTGCCCCAGTGACTGTCGCCAAGGATGAACAAACTTTTAGTAAGTTAAAAACAGTGAAAAACTTGTGCAGATCAAGAACTAACGATGAGAGGTTAGAGAAACTTATGTTCATGGCTTGTGAAAAAGACATCACGGATGAAATACCTGTACAGAATCTTGCCACACTGTGGGCTAGTTTGAAATCAAGGCGAATTACCATCGGTCCGGTGTAAATTGAACATATTTTAGTTACCTAATTAGCCTACTTTTTGATTTTGTTTGTCTTTTAGTTGTTCAGAACAATCACAATATTGATACACCATGTAAATAAAAACAATTCTTAATATATATTAAAAATTACATTGAAATATTATTGAAGTGATTATCCTAACCACGCCCCTGCCAAGTCGCTGCCACGCCACTTCGTCGACAAAAGTGAGTCGTGGACCTCCCCCAAGCACATAGCCTTCGCTACACCCCTGAATGTGATATACTTTGTTCGACAGATTGGACAAGGTGCACAACAAACGAACGGTCAAGGAAAAGTACGCAAAAAAAATTAAGCGTGTCCAAGGAGAGGAAAAAGAAGCCGAACCACCAGCCAACACACCACGGTGGGCAATCAGCGCTGAATGGTTGAAATGCAGAAAAGAAAATGAGGAGTAAGTATATCTCATTAATTGGCTTTGTCAACATTTCATAAGCTTTGAAGATCATTAACTAATGGAACTATAACATTTCTTTAACTCTAGCAATGAGAACGATGAAATCAATGATGGCAACAGTGACGACCCAGCCAGTTCTGCCAGTGCATCAGAAGATAGTGACCTGGATTTTGATGAGTGATTTGACAATTAATTATAGGTGTATACTGTTTGTTAATTTAATCTATTTAATCTATTTAATCCTTAAGTTGTTATTTATTATAATATATAACTTGTAAAGAAATTTATTATTTAATTGTTGTTAACTCATTAAGTTGCAGACTGTTGCAACATTTGGCACTCCTGAAGTTGTAAGGAAAATGGCAAATTTTAGTTACTGTCAACTTCTGTCAACTGCTTTTACAAAAATACCTATATCTCAAGATCAATGTTATAAAAAACCTTGAAATTTGGCAGTGGGTTAAAATGATAAATGATTAATCAATTTTATTAAATGAGCTCCCACACTTAAATATATCATTAGATTTTTGGGTGAGAATTCTTGGTTTGTGCAAATTTAAGTCCCTGACATTTTGTTTCTTCTGAAGGGCAATAATTCCTTAACCCAACATAAATGGCCAAATATTTTTTGATTCCTGCATTGGTACACATTTATATTCAAATTAGTTTTCATCTTGTAGGGTATAAATTACAAAATAATCAAACATTATAAAAATTTGCTTGGGCATAGCTCAGGCACACTCAGGACATCTAGTTTACAATGGAGAACTTGAACTTCAGAACTTGTTGTTCAAGTCCAAAAACCTCTGTAACCCAAAAACGCAGTGTTTGTACCTCTTTGAAGTTTTTAAATACCTCAAATATGTTTGGAAAAACACGAAGTACAACAATTACTAATTAAAATATAAACAAAGGATGAAAAAGGTGAGAAAAATTTAAAATATTTGAGGTGTTTTTAATTCAGACTTTGACAGCCGGCATTTTCAAACGCAGCGTGCGGTGACAAAACAAAAGACTTTTTATTTCGCTATTAAGAGCACTGAAAGTCGTCAAAAAGAGATAAACACTTTTGAATATTCATCAGGTAAGAATTTTAACTGAAATTCCTTTTGTTTCTATTGAGAGAATTGTTGCCAATGTAGGTTGCTGTAAAATGTCAGACAGGCGGTTTCTTTTGAAATCTGACTCTAGTTTGAAATCGGACTCTAGTTTGAAATCTGACTCTAGCTTGAAATAAGTCCTTTTCAAGGACCAATTGTATAAAAATATAATATGTATGCTCAAATAAAATGAATAATCTAATATTTAGGCATTTTAGATTGCCATAAAAGAGTGAAATAAAGTATTTCATCTTTGGTTGTTTGTCAGACGAGAGTAAACACATTGATGACACTTTCTTGCGCATGCAGTTTTCAAAAGATAAACTGCTAAAAATATAGCTTTTATTTCACCAAATAGCAAAGTATCTTGCAGGTATTATTAAAAGAGCTCAAGCGAAGTAATTCCATGATAAATAAGTGAACAATGAGACCAAAAAAGGGACTAAATTACAATTTTGAAAAGTACATTAATTTAATGGCTTCCCGCAAAAGAAGCCATTTCAGAGAAGAACGGCATTTTGTAAACCACTGTCCTGACCTATTTTGGAACTTTTCCTTAGGTAATCGACGAGTACTTCTTAGAAAATGAGCGTGCATTAATTTTATGATGTGCTTGATTGATTTAAAAATTTTATGGGGATATATGAAGCAATAAAGAGTATTTTGGAAGCTTTTCAAATCCCTGTATGGAAGGTTCAGAATTCGCACGTGCCAAGTAACGGCATAATTCAATACACTGATTTTAAACCACATTATCTCTTAAATGAGAGCTCGTTTCGAGAGAAAATTTATAGAAACAGATATAGTATTCATTGTAGAATATTCTACCTAGTTTTAATGCGGTTTTACTCGAAATTTTTCTTGCCAAAAATGTATATACGCACATGACAAGTTGAACTTACTGCCTTCTGAAAGTACTTTGGCTAGAATAACAACTTGAGCAAGAAGACCAAAGGTAGGGTCACAAAAACAGTCAAAATCATGCCATAAAATGCACAAAAAATTCTTCTAAAAACTTAGTTTTAAACTAGATTGAACTTGCTTTAATGCTATATCGAATTTCATGAAAACATGCCAGGTATTTTCATTTAAAAACACGCTCAATAAAATCGTAACTACTCACTTGGATTTAGTGTTAATGTTTCTTGCGATTTCGCACTTCACTTTTCCGTTAGATTGAAAGAAATTGCTGTTTTCCTGGCTGAAAATCGCGTGACTTGATTTGGACAAGAACTTGACTTGAAACATATGCACACTCCCTTATGTTTTACAATATATTTTATATGTAAAACTCTTTAAAAACCTCTTTTTTTCATGCTTAAAACTTGCTGCAAAGTCCTATCTTGTGACACTTCACGGTTGTCACAGGTTTTGTAAAAAAAAAGTTTTAAAATCGAAAATCTTCGCAAACTTTTGATCAATTTTCTCGCATGATGTATCGTTTGAAAGCCCGAATTTTGCACTTTGTACTCGTGACCGTTGCTAGGCAACCCGATAAATACGCGCTAGACAATCGTGCCCGGAAGTGACGCCCAGAGCGCGCAATGAGACTTACCCCGTTCCCAATTCCAGCGCGCAATGAGACTTAATGAGTTAAACATGCTAATAAACAAATTTCAAGGAATGACTTTCTCTTCGTGTTATACGCTTTATAAGCTACTACTGTAGCTTCCTAAAATCATAAATTGGTTTACTTCCAGCGATGTTTTGCTAATTTTAGAAGTGGGGGGACAGTCCTGAAAATCAAATGGGCGTGGTCACTCGATTGGGCGTGTTCTCGTGCACAGTCATAGTGAACACGTACATACGCAATAGCTTAATCTTTAAAGTGGATTTTAGTACAACATGGTAGATGTCTAAAAGCAAATAAAACCACGTTGACTTTCGAATTTCGATGATGCAATTAGGGCTATGTGAGTAACTCGGCAAATAGGCAACTTTACAAGTTGAATATGACGTTTTCGTGAGTAACTAAACACGCTTAGATAATAGACTTCCTTGAATTTTTCCCATTCAATCATGTTAATGTTCTTATTGAATGATTTTATGTCCCCATTGATCATTTTAATGTTCATTTGAATCCTTAATTTCGCGATTGCGCGAGAGACACGCTTATGACTGGCAAGTACTTATCTAAGCAGACGTCAATTATCAGACTCTCGTATTTTTGTGCTAGAATTTTATGCAAGTATATCAAGTTTCAGGGGAGATTAAAATAGTGAAACAATTACGTTCTGAAATATGTCTACGTAGGACGCTGAGCAATTATTGCCAAAATAACACGTATGTAGAACAAGTGATGCCAAAATTATTTGGATGGTGTCAAACGGTGTTCACTTGGATGGTGTCAAACGGTGTTCACTGAACTTCACTCATATTTAATCCCTGCCAGGGGGAACGGCGTTCCCCCACGTTTGATTTTGGCAGGGGGACACCGTTCCCCTGGGAAAAAAGGTGGGGGGACGGCATTCCCCCTGGAAAACATCACTGTTTACTTCGTATTAGTCGAGGTACTCGTCGTTTATATACATTCCATCAATACATACATATATTGGCTGTGATAAAATATTGCAAAGGAAAGTAGTTAAAATGATCGATAATGATATGATGTTTAAGCATCCGTATGCATATGATCAGTTCATGCGTATCAGGTTCCTTAAATGTTACCTTTCTGATATGGCCATGTTACAACCATTAAACCAAAGGTTTTATGATCGTATACAGATATAGAAGGATTCCTGATATAGGGTAAAATGACCCGTATACGCAGAGCGGCGGGGATCATGAAAATATAAGGACCATTATACGGTTGTTAAATGTCATTAAACTATCATTAAATCAGTGGTTTAAGGATAGTTTAATACTCATAAAAGGGACCTTATACAACCCATTTCACGCAGTGTATACTATGGATAAGGTGGGAGAGGAGCATGTTTGTCGCGTTTGTAACAATATTTGCAATTTTGTGTGATGAAATTTAAATTTGCAACAAGAAATCGTGAAGAAAACTGCAATTAAAAATTAATATTTATCGTGATGTGACTTTCTGCTCTATAATCTAGTGTCGAGTTACAATTCAAGCAAGTTGGATCAGATTTCAACTTATAGACTTGCCAAAGAAAGCATGCCTGGGTGGCGTGGCAATAAGCCTACAAGGAAATTTATATCTCTAGACTGACCAATGTGGTTTATATTTATGTAACTGTTAGTATTAAAGTATATGTTGATACACAACTCGGACCAAAAGAATTTATTTATTGATGAGATGTGGAATTGGAACGAAATAGCAAGATCTTTTGATTTCTGAAATATCGGTAAGATGCCAGCTGTATCCAGATTGTTGATTATATTAAAGGCCTTATCAAAAAAACTTAAATCCCGTCAAAAGACTATAAAATTTCCTGCAAGATCTCAATGATCATGGTATATGTCAAAATCTAGCTGTCTTACAGTAAAATCATACTGTTACATCAAAGATAAGTCAAACGACAATATATTTATGTCTTTCAATGAGCACTGTTTAGTACTGTGACTGTGTTTATACCACATTTATAAATTTTATAAACAACTTTCGTTTTGACACAAGCTTTAATTTTCTGCTTTATATATATTCTTAATAATATATACAAGTTGAGATTTAAATGTTTTGTTTGTGAAATAGAATACCGTTATTTTTTAATGGACAGTTTGTATCGTCTCTATCATATCCAGGATTGCTTGTGTGTAAACTGAGCCTACATGTATCACTATACCAAGTGCTATCAAATAAATATAGGAATATATTTGTCAATTTGAGAACCTTGTTTTACTTAATGGAGCGATTGCAGAATACCCATCCAGTTTTGAAGGCCTCACATGTTATCATGATACGATGATACGAAGTGAAAATGATTACGTAATAACTATGTAACCGCTGTATTTATAAAAGCCTGGGTAAGCCATATTTTTGGCTGATTCGATGATACGAAGTGAAAATGATTATGTGATAACTGTATAACTGCTCTACTATAAAAGCCTGGCCAGGTAAGCTATAATTTTGGCTGATACGATGATACGAAGTGAAAATGATTACATAATAACT